TTCTGTCCAAAACTTCTTTATACTTATCATCTTACTTATACATTCAGCTCAACCAGCCTCCCAGAGCCAGTTTCTGCCAAAGATCTCTGTTAAAAAGGAATTCTTCTTCTTTACTGTAACCAGCTGCTTTGCTCCCTAATTAAACTCAATGCATTACCCTTGCAATTAGAAAATGACTGTATATTGCTTTTGTGGGATGGTTCAAGGAGAACGCCTTTTATGTCTGAGAAGAACACGACAGCACTGCTTCAGTTTGCAAAGTTGTGTTGAACAAACCATGAGATTGGAACAAAGTCCTGAGAACATACAGGACCAAAGTAGAGATATTTGGCCATAATGTTTTGCGCAATGCGTGGAGAAAACCAAAAATAGTATATCAGCACAAACATTCACAGAAAGTGTTAGCACAGGGGAAAGGGGTTGATTTGGGTTTAGTTTGCAGCCATGAGACCGGAGCCCCTTGCAGTCATTGAGTTGACTGTGAACTCTTCTGTATACCGAAGTGTTGCAGAGTCAAATGTCAGAACAGTAGATCAGTCCAGGTAAAGCTCTGCGAAAACTGGGCCATGCAACAGCACAATGGTTCCAAGCATAGCAGCAAATCTACAAAAGAATAGCTGAAACTCAAGGTGGCGCAATGACCCAAAGTCCAGACCTCAGTCCGATGCCTGAAATGTTATGCCTAGGCCAGAGTCCAAAATCTCAATGAACTGTGGCAATATTGTAAAAGAGGGTAGGCCAAAATTTCCCCAGAATGATATAAACTGACAAACCCATATAGACATATATTTTAGTACTTGGAGCTATTGTCATTAACAGGACAATTTGGCAAACAGCAAACTGGTTTTTGCCCATTTTGTTTTTGATCTTCTTTTATTCCAACTTCTTTTCAAGGGTAAAGAATAACTGGTTTGTTGAACAGAAGTTTAACATGGCTTCACTCAACTCAAATTCCCTCCACAGTCACCAGACCTCAGTGCAACAGAGCTGTGATCAAATCATGGATGTGCAACCAGTAATGGTGAAATGGCAGGTGAGCGCATGTCATAATATACAATTTATTTATATAACATGATGACAATGATGCCATAATCCAGATACTCCTGATTGTGTGTATTATGTTACAGTTAAATGTCTCACATCAGACAAGTGTGTTGATCCTGCCTTTGCAGTAAGTAGCAGAAGCATTCACTTTCTTTTAGGCTCAACAAATGGACGTAAACAGACCTCATCCCAGGATGCGGACACATTGACCAACTCCAGTTCTGAGGTGGTGAGGTTATACTCCAGTCCACTGTATTCTTCCTTCATCAGGAAATCCTGAAGAGAAAAAAATACATTTAAATTATAAAATGCATTTAACTTA